TTATTAATTTTTTCAAAAATGTCAAAAGGTCTCTTTAAGAGAGTTGTGGTGGATAGTGGAGTAGGATTATCTCCTTTTACCATGCAAAAAGACCCTATAGAAAATGCAAAAATGTATGCTAAATTGTTGGGATATAATGCCAGCGACGACATTTCTTCCTTAACATCTTTTTATAAAAGTCTTCCGTATGAAAAACTCAATTCAGTACAAGTAATGACCACTACGGATTTTTCACTATATATGACACCATGTGTAGAGAGAGATTTAGGAGAGGAAATGTTTCTTGATGATAGTCCATACAATATATTAAAAAACGGAAGTTATATCAAAGTCCCAATGTTGTATGGATTCACTGAAATGGAAGGCGCGTTTCGTTTGCCACAATTTCATTTATGGAAACATGAAATGAATGCAAATTTTTCAAAATTTCTGCCAAATGATTTGTCATTTAAGGATGACATAGAAAAAGAATTAGTGGCGAGTAAAGTGAAACAATATTATTTTGGAGAAAAACCTGTAGGACGAGATACAATATTTTCATATGTTAACTTTTTCACTGACGTTTTTATCGTTTATAGCACGATAAGAACAGTTAAACTACATTTAGAAGCAGGACATAACCAGATTTATTTTTACGAATATTTGTACGTTGATAATACTTCCGATTATTCTCCATTTACGGAAGTACGAGGTCCGACACATTGTGGTCAAACCTTTGCAGTAATGGATGGGTTTTATAACTTCGTTAGTATTCCCTATGATGAAAAATTGGTTACAAATGAAATGATTAAAATGAAGAAAATGATGAGAAAAATATGGGGAAACTTTATGAAAACAGGGTAAAGGTGTTTTCATTTACAAATTATGTTATTATACTTAAGATATAATTTAATTTTAATGTGAAAAAAAAACTTTCAGGCATCCAATACCGAACGGAGATTTTCCTCAATGGTTTCCATTGAGTTGTGAATGGTCAGAGTTCATGTCTATAAATAGGACGTTACTGTTGAAAAAATCTCATACATCAGAAAGAGCTTCTTTTTGGGACGAAATCTATGAAGAGTATTATGTGCCACCTAAACGTCCAGACATAAAGTGAACTGTTATTGTTCTTAATATGTAGAAAAACAACAGCATAGTACAAATGTTTTCGATTTAATCGACAAAGTATAATCTATTGTCTAATCTCCACAAGATTCAGTCATTTTGGTATTTATTTTTATAAATCCACTATTAAAATTAAAACAAATTCATTCTGCAATTCAAATTGATTATATTTTACATAAATTGTCGATTTGCATATTTTATTCTAATAATTTAAGACCCATAGTAATGTTTCAATACTTCATTATAGGAACATTTTGAATTATTCTTCAAGTCTCAAGTGTGTATGTGCGACAATTCTCTATCACAATTTCAAAATGACAAGTAATTTTTTTACATAACCACAAGTAAAATCTTGTTAAATATATAAATAAATGTGGAATTAATATCCAGAATAATATATGTCTATCTTGTTTATTTTCACATAGCAACACTATTAGTACACAATCAGTAACAAAGTTCACCTATTTTGGTAGGCTAAAAATTTGTTTTTGTAGTCAAAAAAAGATAAGATCGTTTTGATTATATTTATTTACTTAGGCCAAATCTATTTATATAATCTAACGCCTAGCACATGTATAGAGAAAAATAGGAGAAAGCAAATATGAAGATTAGTGATATGAAGAGACGAAAATTCGGAGAATTGCTACTTCATTAGCATTTGTAAATCCCTACTTCATTAGCAGTTGTAAAATATAGGTTAAAAAGAAATAATTTAATTGAGTTAAAATAGTGGATTTTAACACATATGTATGTAGTTATTTTTCAAACTGGATTTAAAAAAAGTGTTGATTATATTTTTTGTAGATTAATGTTAACTTCCCATGAAACATACTGGAAGATATTTATATCTCAGAATGAATCTCACAAATGTAACCAATTCTTTTTTCATAAGTTCACATTTTTTCTATTTCGTTATCAATTGAAATCAATCTCTCTCATTCTATAATTAAATATATTTTATCATGATTTTTGTGATTATACATTATAAATAATTTCAGATAATTGCTTATTTAAAAAAACCTAGCCAGCTATTTTTTACAGAATATGGTAATTTTTGACGTGATAACGTCTTTAAAATGGTTTTAGTCGGGTGACATGTTCAGAAACTTGTGTCACACCAAAACCTCACGAGCGCGATCGCAGGTATAACGAGAGAGAGAGGGACCGATCTCCCGTCTCATCTCGAGCGCTGCCAGTCATTCCGTGAAACTTGTCACGCGGAATCCTCACGAGCGGAGGCAGGCATAGCGTTCGAGTGAGTGGACCGATCTTCCGTCTCTCTCACTCTAGCGGCATACAAACAAATGGAGATTTTCTCGGGCGGTTAAGTTTTCGTTGAATGTTTAACAGTGAAATAAATGTATAAAAGTATGTTTGTATGAAGAAAAATGTATATCATAGTCGAATAAGTAAACTTGTCATTTTACACCCGAAATTTATCATCAAAAGTGTGAATAAAACGATAGATGTAATTTAAAATTTGAAAAAACTGTTATCTTCATTAATTCCTTACTTCCCAAAAACTTATATCACCAATAAGAAGTTATCACGTAAACATCTGGATCGTAAACCTACTTTATTTTCCATACTATATTTCATCGAAATACTCTTCGATTCAGCCGCGTGTATAATTAAAGCTTTGTTGAAGGTTGTGTTTTAAAAAAATATATTGAAAAGATAATTTAAATTAAATTAAAAGATAATTAATTTATTTAAACAAGGCAACAACGTAAAAATTGTTATTGTCTTAAATATGTATACTATTTTTAAAACATCATTAGATGATGTGTTATCTGACAACAGGTTTTAAGATTTCTATTATATTTAATTAATAAAAGAAAATATGGGTTTGCAAAACATATTCATACATTACATGAAGTAGAAGACTACTTTTACACGATAGTTACAGAATTTTGTTTGTAATATTATATAATACATAATTCAAATATGAAGATTGGACATCAAATATTAATTGTTTCGGTTTTGTTTGTACGTATCATATCATCGTTTATACGTATATATCATTGTTTTGTATCATCGGCAGCGTTTGAAGATTATAGTAATACATAATTACGCAAATTACGTCCCAGAAAAGTTATCATTTGTAAGTAAGAAAAGCAAGCGTTTTGTTAAAACAATATATTTTGAATGTTATAATTTATATTTTGAATTAAGTATTGTATTTTCCTTAGGAAACTTAATTTTCGATTGTTAATTAATTTATCATCATACGGTCTTGTGTTACTGTTATAAAATGCAATGATTACTGCAGAGTCCTAAGAGCAATGCGACGCTTCTTCAACATGTGTTTTCAGATAGAAATCAGACTAGTTGTCAAAATATGTAATTTTTTTTAAATAGACCTAATTGTTACCAGTTTCCTTCAGCATTTTGTGGTTCGAATGAAGTGGTATATGACCATAGTATCATAAAAATAGTCAACATAAAAAAACGTTGTTTCTCCTCCAATTTCTTTGTCACAAACTTAATGATTTCTTATGCAAGCAGTAACTCTGAATTCTCGAATTTCTTTAAAAATATCGGATAATTCATGAATACCAGACATGATGGCATTAAGTTTTCCTGTCTTTGCGATAATGGTATCATATAAGCCAAAATTGAGGTTTTATCCATACCAAAGTAATAGTAAAATGATCAAAAATATATCACCGAGTGAATTGTGAAAATTAGATGGTTTACGGGTTAGATGATTACGGGAAGGAAAATAATATTTTGGGACTTTCATCTGTATTTCAAAAGTGGACAGTATATAATATTGACATGTAAATAAAATGTTTTTCTGTTATATTTAAGGATTCATATAACGAATATTCTGTACCTCTACCGGATTCACAAAGCTAAAATTATAAAGCTATATTTTATAGCCAGCTGTAGCTATATTTTTTCGTTATTTATTAAATACTAATAATTTATCATTGTATATTTTCTTTATGATATATACAGTCATACAAATATCAAAATATAAAAACATCTAACAATCTATTTTATACCAAAATTATCTTTAGGAATTGCGTATATTTTATATACATTTATACAAAATCTAAAAAACATAAAATTTGGTATTGTCTTATCAATAATGTTATACAAAAAGATTAATCGTGCGTGGAGTCCCTCCAATTGAAGTGAGAATTTGAAATGTTCGGAAGAAAACAGGAAGGGGTAGAAATTGATTTTTAAGGAATTATTGTGTTTCTTTCAGAGAAAAACTTTATAAACGTTATTTACAAGGCACAATTGATTGCCCAAGCGCCACGCATTCTCTCTAGCTCTGCCTTTTTTTTTGTGATCCCTCCGCCTAGAAGCATTAAACGTCGAATTCAAATTTGTTAGAAGTTGCATAAGAAGTTTCACTTCAAAAGTATAATATTATAATAATAATTTTCTATTACCGATAATAGTATCGAGGGTATGATAACACTATCTCAGCTGAATCAGTATTCTTTAAATAATTTTGTATAGTTTGTTTCTTGTACGTGTACGTTGCTCATAGTGATAAGAAATTGAATTGAATGATTAATGGAAAGAATTAGAGTTGTTTAAACATTGTTTAAAACTGTGACTTCTGATTGAGGAGTGTTTCCATTGTATATTCCATCTAATGCTTTCTCATAGATTTTTCTCTTTAATTATGATTTAAAACGTTTAAACATATGTTTTTAAATTAATTGTGCAGACTTTATAAAAGGAACGTTTATATATTTAAATCCTTTATGAACTGTTATAATTTATTATAAAAATCGATCTAAATTCATAATTCTTCTAATAATTTAGATGTATTACAATTTAACTGTCGTGAATCGTTCTGATACAGTTGATTACGATTAAGTAAACGTTTGATACCGTGTGGTCAGTGTATCATCACATCTCACACAATGCGGGTATCTGCTATATTTTTATCAGCCTTGATTGTTTCAGTTTCCTCTGAAGATATCAAGGATCGTGAGTCATTACTAGTTCAAATCAGCTCTGGTCTCGTCAGAGGGTATAAGGATATCCACGATGATGTCTTCGTGTTCAATGGAATACCATACGCTACAGCACCGACTGGGACAGAAAGATTTAAGGTAAAAGTTCAATGAACTCTTATTTATCTAGTTTTCTATTTTCCTTCTTGTGCAATAATAATTAATAGAACCCTACACATAAAAATAAGTGATTGGCAAAAAACACTTAAATTACTAGAAAATAGTTATCTTCAGAGTAAGGGAGCGTTCAAGTATTACGTAACGCAATTTTGGGGGCGGGGGGGTCTCGTAAAACGTTACGATGCGTTACAGGGGCGGGAGGGGGTGTCTCTTACAAAACGTTACGTAGTATTGTTTCTAAAAAAATATATTAATAAAAACCCCCAAACTGTCAACTCTTTTCATATACGTTACATTATGTTGACCAGATTATATTAGTCTGGTCGATATTTTTATTTGTTATTCCAAGTTTGCAAACCTCTTAATTGATATTTTACGGGGAATACCTGAATTGCATTGTAAGTCTTTTGATGAAATTGATCACTTAAGTGTTACGTAACGTTTTGAGAAGGGGGTGGGGGGCTACAGAAAAACGTTACTGTGCGTTACGAGGGGGGAAGGGGGGGTCAAAAATCTTCGAAAAATGCTTTACGTAATACTTGAACGCTCCCTAACCTAGAAATCTAGTCCATTCCAGAACATCAATCGGAAAATATTTTGTCTAAATTCCTTTCTTACTTACCACTGTTTAAATGTCCAAAGACTTCGATTTACCTATCATTGTATTTCGTGCATCGTTATACAAATCTAAATTACCAAAATTTTCCCAATCATTCAGACTAGCCAGTTATAATATATAACCTGTGATAATTTATACATTTTTATAAAAACTATTGTGTTACTTTGAAATTGATATAAAATATTTATTGTAATAGAATTCAAGTAAATGTATTCACTATAAATAGAATATACACAAAATATATTTGTTACATTAATATTTTATATCTTTTTAGTAATAAATTGTATTTGCTATTAACTTATTCCTTTCCATGATAATTTTCATTTTATGTTAACTCAGATTTTTTGTAAAGACTTGTAAATTAATACATATATTTTGTGGTTTGTGTATTTAAACAATATGTAGAATATATTATTGCTGTAATTTCTGTTGGTGATCATACCTATCCTAATAAATAAATAAATAATGATACCCTTGGCTTTGTGTGGAGACCTCTACATTGTATCTTAATCAAAAAATACACCTACTCAAACATTTATTAGTCAATAGACGAATATAATGTAAAGAATATTTTAAGGGTCTTTCAAATCCAAAATAGCCAGGTATTTTTATGACGTATACTCGTATATTAGGGATTTATTCTACAATATCTTATTAAAAGTTATGACGGTAATTTAATTGCATATATTATCACTGTGTAACCACAATTTCAGGGCCCAATGCCTCCACCAGCTTGGATAAACCAATTTGAAGCCGTAGATGATCGAACTGTATGCCCGCAATTAAGACTTATAGAATTTCCTTTGGAAGGCAAGATTATGAAGGAAGATTGTTTGATTGCAAACGTTTATGTTCCTAGAACAGAGAATAAAAACCTTTCAGTCGTTGTCTACGTACATGGTGGCTGGTTTATCGTAGGTTACGGAAATATGCTTTCACCGAAGAAGTTAGTAACAAGTCAAAATATTATAGCCGTCACATTTAATTATAGATTAGGGGCACACGGATTCCTTTGCTTAGGTACTGAAGACGTGCCCGGTAATGCTGGTATGAAAGATCAAGTTGCACTTCTGCGATGGGTTAAAAAAAATATTGCAGGCTTCGGAGGTAATCCTAATGACGTCACAATTGCTGGATACAGTGCTGGATCTGCGTCTGTCGATCTTTTGATGTTATCGAAAATGGCTAAGGGCTTGTTCAATAAAGTAATTCCGGAAAGTGGTGCGAATATATCCCCTTTCGCTGTTCAAATTGATGCCATACAGAATGCAAAAAAATACGCCAAGTTGGTAGACATTCATGATGTCGAAGATGTATTAGAATTAGAAAATATTTTTAAAAAGATGCCATATCAGATATTGCAATCAGGAAATGTTCTTACTAGTAAGGACTTTACATACCTTAATGCTCCTTGTATTGAGAGAGATAATGGACAAGAAATGTTTCTTAAAGAAGCTCCATTGAATATTTTAAAACGAGGTGATTTTCTAAAATTGCCCATGTTATATGGATTTGCTGATATGGAGGGATTGCTGTCTATTCCATATTTTGATTTATGGAAAGAAGAAATGAACCAAAATTTTGCAGATTTTTTGCCTGGTGATTTAAATTTTAAAAGTAAAGACAGTAAAGCTCTAGTAGCAGAGAAGATTAAGAAATTTTATTTTGGTGATAAGTTAATCGATAATAATGCTATTTTACAGTTTGTTGATTTTATTTCTGATGGATTTTTTGTATGTCCAACATTGGGAGCTATAAATTATTTAGTAAGAGCAGGACATAATGAAATATACTTTTACGAATATTCTTACACGGACGAATACACTCCTTTTGTACCTCATACTACTGTACGTGGAGCAACACATTGTGCTCAGAGTCACACTGTACTTGATGGCTTAGAAATTGAGCCGTACAGTTCTACTAAGGATATCGTTAAAATGAAAAATATTATGAGGGAGCTTTGGGGAAATTTCATCAAGAACGGGTAAGTTATTGTTGGAGGTAAAATATTTTTTACAGTCATCAAATTCGTGACAACGTTATTTTATTTACTTTATGATTTTTTATGCTTAATAAATTTATTGTGATCGCCTTTGTAGAAAACCTACATCTTCCGGAACTCCTGTATGGACTCCTGTAGGATCAATTGGGTCTCCATACATGGCTCTTAAGTTGGACTCAGAACTAAGAAGTTCATTGTTGGAAAAAAGATGTGCCGTTTGGAATGAGATCTATGAGTCACATTACAGTTACCCCGGACCTCCTGCATCACCACTACAAAAGCATAATAAGTTATAAATCTAATTATGTTTCACAGTTTTTAACATTTTTTTTCCTTCTAGCGGAATATATTTTATGTTAATAAATAAGGTAACAGCAGTATTGTATATTCATGTAAATAAATAGGACTTGTGTTTCAGGACAAATCTAGTAAAATTTAGTGATTAATTATTAAAGTTATATATTCGTCTTAAAAGTAAAAGAAATATGTACTAAAGATATGTAATAAAACTTATGAAAGGAGTGTAGCAAATATTTATTTGTTTATTATGGTAATCCATCAACGCTTACCTCTCGTTTCGGGTTCCTGTACAGCAAATATGATCACAGGATTATGTAGATACAAAATAATAAAAACATGTTGTATGTGAGAAACTTATTTACAATAAAAATCTTACATCTTTTAACTTTTGATTGGTATGCTGCAGTTGGGGTATAGTTATAAAAATGTATGCATAAAAGATATTTATAAAATGATAGTTAAGTTGTTTTTTATTATAACACGTGTAAGTTAAATATTTTAATTTGCTTCTGCTTAAAAATAAACTTAGCAGCATAAAGTCACATCATCTTTTATGAAATATAAAATATTTGCTAACATAGAAAAATAAACTTGAATCAAACGAATTTACAGATCGCAATGTAAAAAGTACATTAATCCGTTACTCAGACATAATTATTTGATAATTTAAGCCTCGGTGTCAAATAAAAGTGACAAGATCCAACCAATAAAATTGTAATATTTTTATGTAATTATAAATAATTACACATATTATAAAATATGGTAAAAGATCTTTATTCTCATAAGAACATACACAGGTTCACTTACATGAGAGATTAAATAATGTTACACACATACATATTTGATACATGGAATGGCTAGTACTACTTAATATTGTCTAATATATGTATATGTTTGAAGTTTATTTTTAAAAGCAATTAAACATTTACATTCCTTTATGTAGTTTGGCAAATCATTTTATAGTTTTACTCCATCAAAACGTATATTTTTGTGTCCATAATTTAAGGTTCTGGCTTTAGGTAATTCAAGTTTATGTCTGTTTCTTAAGTTATGCTTGTTTGATTTTAGTGTAAATGTTATGTTTAAATGAATACTTTTAGATAGTATCTTTTTAATTCAAATACATATGTTTTAAATATATGTTTCATTTAGGTTGAATAATTTTGATTTTTTGTACAGTTCTATCGACGTTGTGAAAGATCATACTTAGTGAAAAAGTACTTTTATAATTTTGTTCTGCGTAATTTGTAAGATTTTAAGGTTAGACTTTGAAGCTGACCCCCATATTTCAATAATATAATCAATGTGTGGCTTTATCAGGGAATTGTAGATAACACTTCGCATTTTTTATACAATTATTAGATCTTCGGAGTACTCCTACAAGCGATGAGAGTTTTGATCTGATATGCTCAATGTGTGGTTTCCATAAAAAACAAAATAACATACAATATAGTAGTAATAAGTAGATGTTCGTTGATCCTTTTTTGTGTTTTATTTGACACTGACTAGATAATTATAAAATAATAATGTCTGATTAATCTTATTAAAATGCCTGTAACTTTGTAGTAAAATGATAGGCGTATAGTATAAAAATATATACAAATCAAAGCACCAATGTAGTATGGATTTACTGAAATGGAAGAGGTGTTTCGCTAGCTATAATTTCATATATTTGCAGTTATGGATGGGTTTTATTACTTCGTTAGTATTCCTTGTGAAAATTTGTTCCAAATGAAATGATTAGAACGAAAGAATGATGAGAAAAAAGGAGGAGAAGCTTTATGAAAATGGGGTAAAGGTGTTTTCATTTACGAATAATATAATGCTTAAGATATAATTGAATTTGTTATGTGAAAAGGCATTGTACAGGCATTATACTGAAAGGAGATGTTCCTCAAATGAACTACTCTGATGAATCAGATCTGAATAATATATATATTAGTTTCATTTAAATGAATAGTCGCGAAAGTCTTAGATTTCATTATTTGTTGAAGATGTCTGTATTTATTTAAAAACAATTTTATAAATTATAGTATGTATTTAAAAACAATTTAATAAATTACGATAGCAATATTTCATTTCGCATACATGCTTACTATTGAAAAATTAAGTTACAAATTATTCAAATGAAAGTGTACAGTAAAAGTTAACAACGAGGAATATTTAAACCAAAGTAAAATTAATTGACAGCGATTATCTTCTTTTAATTTTATAAAATTACGCGCTAATGGTGCTGTCTCTTTTGTAGTAGTAGTCCAATCGATGTGTTGAATTACCATGTCTAATGTGTTAAGTAATTGTTATAAAGTTAAAGGCTTGCATTAATTATATATTTTCTAAAATAAAAACAACATGTCATTCTTGATGCGCCTTTCTGTATATGCATGTAATATATTTAATAAAATAAGTAAAATACATAGTATTGTTTTAGTATTTGGTTAAACGAATATTTTGTTGTCAATCAGTTTTCCATTAAGTTGGGAGATATATGAAGATATATGTACAATGTACACATAAATACAAAGTCAGTGGTGGCCTAATGGTTAAAAGGGCCGCCTCTCATGCACGAGGGCGCGGGTTCGATCCTGGCAAGTACCAATGTCATTTTTCAGAGTCATATACGTACATTCTAAGAGTATTTAGACATCACTGATTAATGCATTCCCAAAAAAGGTTGATGTCAGGCAGGCGGCCGGTCGTAAAAACAGTTAGCCAAAAACTATTCACAGCATGTAAGGCAGACCCTGGCTAAACCTGGGAATTGGTCAGGTAGAAAAAGATGTACACATACATACATAGTTTACATATTTACATAAAAATGAATTACATTTAATTGCTATTTGGATTTCTATTAATTGTAGATGGATAGTTGTTTATGAGCGTCCATTGAAATTAGACGGAACGAAGGAGTAGAATTTTAATTAAATTGAAAATGTATGTATGTATTCGTCTATTCAAGTGCTTGAAGAAATAAAGAAATTCATTAGATTGAATTTCATATTATTAGACGTTCACCAAATTGAAAGTATTTTGAAAAAGAGAATATCTAAATTTCAATAGAGAAGATGTCTGGAATCTATCAAACACCTGTGACCCTTTTCTTAAGAATTTAAAAACCAATTGACAGGCATTCAAATCTCATCTGCCCGTGATCACAGTAGCTGAAAAGTTGCTAAAACGTCGGCAGTATGTAGTTTTTTACAAAAATAAAGCACGCCTAGTATATTCGAAAAATATTAGTTTCATTTAAATATTTTGAATGTTATAATTTATATTAAATTTGATTAATTTTTTTATGTTACTTATTACTTAAAATTTTTAGCATGTTATTTGAAATTAATTTCTCATCATACAGAATCTTTATCAAAATACGAATATTTCTATAAATGGATCTGATAGTTACTAGTTTCGTTCTGCAGTTTTGTGCTTCGAATGAAAGGTGATATAACCATAGTAACAGAAAAATATTTAACATAAGGCAACATTCATTCTCTTCCAATTTCTTTGTCAACAATATTTGTCACAATAGTTTAGTGAAGCCACATCTTTTGTATCTCATCGAAATATGGGGTGTGGCATCAAAAAGCAATATAGCCCAACTTCAAATTGCTCAAAATAAAATAATTAAATTACTTTTTCATTACCCTTATTCAACACCTTCAGATAATGTCTATAGAGAAACCAAATTAATGAATATTAAGCAATAATACAACTACACTACTTGTAGTCTTATACGTAAAATCTTAGACAAAAAAATACATACAGAAATAACTTTCGAAAGCAAAGGTCAATTACACAAATATGCAGACGTGTTAGTCATCTAATACTGCCTAAAATTAGAACTAAGAGTGGAAAAAAGATGATTATTTTTGAGGGAGAAAAACTTTATAACAATTTACCTAAACAAGTAAAAACTCTAACAAAATTTTCTATGTTTAAATCTCGACTTTATAACTATATTCTGTGTAACCATTCTCTGTTAAAATAATTAATTGAAACTGTTATCTCATCTGTTTTGCTGATCCGAACGAATTGTTATATTTATAAGTTAGTTATAAGTTCTCATGTAAATGACGTTGTCGTAATGAGAATAAAGTTCTTTAAACTGAATATAATATAGGTGGTACAGCCTAGCTGTAGTCATGTCACTGCATCTCGAAAACGGGCTGGCTCGACCGGGGAAGTACCACCCTCTCACAGAAGATCGGCGTGAAGTAGCCTTATTCGGCTGCGTTCCGTCTGGTGAGTGAGAGAGCGGGTTGCCCTTGCCCTTGCCCCTACCCTTTCCTACCCCTTCCTTTTTTCCTCTCTTTCCCACATGTTCCTTCCCCTCTTTCCGAATCAGGGCTGGCAACACATTCGCAAACTTTGTTGTAGATGTCTATGGGCGACGGCACTACCTCTATCAGGTAAGCCTTTTGCTCGGTTGCCCCCTTTCGCATAAAAAAAATGTATTTTTATCCCAGCAGTAACTGTTAATTCTATATATTCCTTAAAAATATCGGATGATTCATTAATACCGGATATGGTCTCATCAAGTCTGTCTATTTTTGCGATAGTGATATTATATTTGTCAAACGAGTGATTCATTATCGATAACAAAGTAATAATAAAATTATCAAAAATACATCGCAATGACTAATTACCTAAATTTCAAAAGTGAACTTTAATGTAATATTGACATGAAAATAAACTGATTTTTTGTTATGTTTTAGGATTCATATAACGAATATTCTGTACCTCTACCGGGTTTACAAGGAAAATATGGCGAGCTGTAGCTGTATATTTTTCCTTATTTAATCGATTCTAATAGTTTATCATTGTATATTTTCTTTATGATATATATAATCATACATATATCATAATACTGACCTAAAAAATGACATTAAACCGGACTTAGGTAAATAATCATATTTTTACAGAATTAAGATTGGTTTATCATTACAGAGAAAATATTTTTATCCAATGGAGTAGAAGTATAATTGAGTAAATTAAAACTACTAGTTAATAATGATAATAATTTGTACGGTTAGACCATTGGTAGGTATATTTTCAAAGTAGCATTCTTTATTTTATCTTTAATGTAGTAAATAATAATAAGACATTAATTTAATAATAATAAGACATTAATTAAAATAACGAAATATCACTAAGACTATTTGGAAAAGTCTCGTATTAAACTAAAACTTCATTAGAGAATTACTTATTTAACCAAATAATAATTATTTTTTGTTTCTATAAAAGACATATAACAATCTATTTTTAATATAAAATTTTTCTTTAGAAAATATGTGTATTTTATATACATTTATACCAAAGCTAAAAAATTATATTTGGTATTTGTCTTATTAAAAATGTGATACAAAAAATATTAGTGTGCGTTCAGTCTCTCCACGCGGAAGAAGTGAGACTTCGAAATGTTCAAAAGAAAACAGGAAGGGATAGAAATTGATTTATGAGGAACTATTTGTGTTTCTTTCAGACAAACACGCATTCTCTCTAGCTCGCTTCCCCCCTCCGACCAGAAACGTTAAACGTTGAACGGAACCCTGTTAGAAGTTGTATAAGAAGTTTGACTACAAAATAATAATAATAATTTTCTATTACATATAATTGTATCGAGGATATGTTAAAAAAATCTAAGTTGAACCATTATTCTTTAAATAAATTTGAATATATTTTATTATTTAAAGTAGTTTACATGACATGATTAGACGTATACGTTGCTCGTAATGATAAATAAGAAAGGTATTAACTTAAATGTTAACAGTAAATTTTTCTGAAACTTAAATTTACAATTTCATTATTTTTCTGTTTTGTAACTTTTCATATAGTCATTGACATTGAATACAAAGTCAGTACAACTATGGAGGCAGTTACAACTTACAGCATGTATTTGGAGAAAAATTATTTTGTCATACCTTCGTCATTAAAGTAGACCACAAAGTCTCAGGGAAAATTCATAGGAGGATAAATAGTACTTTCGTTAATAATACTTTTTACATATCTATGGTTAATACGAGTCATAATTATAATAGTAATTATATAAGTAATATTATTAATAGGTTCAATACGTTTTAACTGAAAGAAATACAGTTGTATACATTGTTTAAAACTGAAACTTCTTGTTGGGAATTGTTTTCATTGTACTTCCATCTAATGCTTTGTCATAGATGTTTCTATTAGTTTTTATTTTTATTTTATGTCTATTTCAAGCTATGATTGAAAACATTTATACGTTACTAAATTAATTGTACAGACTTTATAGAAGAAAGGAAAGAAAAAAACTATTTTTATAATTTTCAATATGTAGGAACAAGCCAAAAAAATGAATGAACAGATTATAAGTAGATAGTATAGATAAAGAGATAGTAGATAGATATGAAAATTTAAAAACGTATATATATTAAAATCGTTTATGATTGTTTTTAATTCATTATTCTTTTAATAATTTAGACGTATTAAAATTTGAGTGTCGTAAATCCTGATACAGTCGATTACGATTAAGTAAACGTTTGATACCGTGTGGTTAGTGTATCATCACTTCTCACACAATGCGGGTCTTTGCTATATTTTTATCAGCCTTGATTGCTTCAGTTTCCTCTGACAATATCAAGGATCGTGAGTCATTATTAGTTCAAATTAGCTCTGGTCTCGTTAGAGGGTATAAGGATATCCACGATGATGTCTTCGTGTTCAAAGGAATACCATACGCTACAGCACCGACTGGGACAGAAAGATTTAAGGTAAAAGATCAAAGAACTCATATTTATCTAGTAACAGTAAGTGTTTGGCAAACTACACTTAAATTACTTGAAAACAATTATCTTAAGAGTTATCATGAAATTCAATGCCTACCAGAACATCAATCAGAAAATATTCTGTCTATATGTACCTATATATATTATGTGTAAGCTCAACTTTTAAAACAAATATTTATGTATTACGCTCGACCTGATATATCGTTTTTTTTGTTAGAACTAACTTAGAGTAATTTAGAATACTGCAGTCCAATCTGGACATTCGATACAAAATTAATGCTGATGGTTTGTGTATTCAATAAATATGTATATAGAATATATTATTGTCATTATTTCTGTTGGTGATCCTTATAAAAAAAAATAATGATACTCTCGGCTTCTTGAGGATACCTGTACATTGTATTTTAAGCAAAAATTACACCTTCATATAAATTTATGAACAAAATATTATGATAACAATGTCAAGATAAACAATAACAAATTTAATGAAGTCAAATAGTCAATAGACTAATATAAAGAGCGGAATATTTTAAGGTGCTTTCAAAACTAAAATAGCCAGACATTTTTGTCTATTTTTATATTTTAGGGATTTCTTCTTTGTAGAAGAATATCTAAATAATACTTATGATAGTTAATTATTTACATATATAATAACTGTATTACAATTATTTCAGGGCCCGTTGCCTCCACCATCTTGGATAAACCAATTTGAAGCCGTAGATGACCGAACTATATGTCCGCAATTAAGATTTGTAGACCTTCCTATGGAAGACAAGATTATGAAGGAAGATTGTTTGATTGCAAACGTTTATGTTCCTAGAACAGAGAATAAGAATCTTTCAGTCGTTGTCTATGTACATGGTGGCGGATTTTTCTTAGGTTACGGAAATATGCTTTCACCGAAGAAGTTAGTAACAAGTCAAAATATTATAGCCGTCACATTTAATTATAGATTAGGAGCACACGGATTCCTTTGCTTAGGTACTGAAGACGTACCCGGTAATGCTGGTATGAAAGATCAAGTTGCACTTCTGCGATGGGTTAAAAAAAATATTGCAGCCTTCGGAGGTAATCCTAATGACGTCACAATTGCTGGATACAGTGCTGGATCAATGTCTGTTGATCTTTTGATGTTATCGAAAATGGCTGAAGGCTTGTTTAATAAAGTAATTCCGGAAAGTGGTGCAAATATCTCCCCTTCGACTGTTCAAGTAGATCCGATAGAGAACGCAAAAAAATACGCCAAGTTGATAGACATTCATGATGTCGAAGATGTGTTCGAATTAGAAAATATCTTTAAAAAGATGCCATATCAGATATTGCAATCAGGATATGCTCTAAATAGTAAGGACTTTTCATTCCTTACTGCTCCTTGTATTGAGAGGGATAATGGACAAGAAATGTTTCTTAAAGAAGCTCCAATGAATATTTTAAAACGAGGTGATTTTCCAAAATTGCCCATGTTATATGGATTTGCTAATATGGAGGGATTGATGTCCATTCATCGTTTTGATTTATGGAAAGACGGAATGAACAAAAATTTTGCAGATTTTTTGCCTGCTGACTTAAATTTGAAAAGTAAAGACAATAAAGCTCTAGTAGCCGAGAAGATAAAGAAATTTTATTTTGGTGACAAGTTAATCGATAATAATGCTACATTACGGTTTGTTGATTTTATTTCTGATGGATTTTTTATATGTCCAACATTGAGAGCTATAAAATATTTAGTAAAAGCAGGACATAATGAAATATACTTGTACGAATATTCTTACACGGACGAATACACTCCTTTTGTACCTCATACTACTGTACGTGGAGCAACACATTGTGCTCAGAGTGTCGCTGTACTTCATGGCTTAGAAATGGAACCGCACAGTTCTATCAAGGATTACGTTAATATGGAAACTATTATGAGGGAGCTTTGGGGAAATTTCATCAAGAACGGGTAAGTCATTGTTGTATGTAAAATATTTTTATATCAGTCATCGAAGTCGTGACACCATTATTTATTTATAATTATAAACTGTTAATGATAGTGTTTAATGATATTATTATATAAGTGATAAATTTATTGTGATCGCCTTTTTAGGAAACCTACATCTTCCGCAACCCCTATATGGACCCCTGTAGGATCAAATGGGTCTCCATATATGGTTCTTAAGTTGGACTCAGAACTAAGAAGTTCATTGTTGGAAAAAAGATGTGCCGTTTGGAATGAGATCTATGAGTCACATTACAGTTACCCTGGACCTCCTGCGTCACCACTACCAAAGCATAATGAGTTATAAATCTAGATATGTATTTTTTACAGTTTTCAACATTTTTTCCTTTTAGCGGAATATATTTTATGTTAATTAATTAGGTGACAGTAGTATTGTTTATTCATCTAAATAAATAGGACTTGTGTTTCAGGACAAATCTAGTAAAATTTAATGATTATTAAAGTTATATATTCGTCTTAAAAGTAAAAGAAATATGTACTAAAGATATGTAATAAAACTTATCAAAGGAGTGTACCAAATATTTATTTGTTTATTATGGTAATCCATCAACCCTTACGTCTCATTTCGGGTTCCTGTACAGCAAATGTGATCACGGGATTGTGTAGATACAAAATAATGAAAACATGTAGTATGCGAGAAGCTTATTTACAATAAATATCTTACATCTTTTAACTTCTGCTGCAGTTGGGGCATAGTTATAAAAATGTATGTAGTAGCATAAAAGATATTGATAAAATGATAGTGAGTTGTTTTTTTTATTATAACAAGTGTAAGTTAAATATTTTATATTGCTTTTGCTTAAAAATAAATTTAGCAGCATAAAGTCACATCATCTATTATGAAATATTTGCTAACTTAGAAAAATAAACTTGAATCAAACGAATTTACAGATCGCAATGTAAAAAGTACTTTAATCCGTTACTTAGAAATAATTATTTGATAATTTAAGCCTCGGTGCCAAATTAAAGTGACAAGACCCAACCAATAAAATTGTAATATTATTATTATGAAATGATAAATAATTACACACATTATAAAATAACATACAATATATTAGTAATAAGTAGATGTTCGTGGATAGTTTGATGTGTTTTACTTGGCACTGACTAGATAATTATAAAATATTAATGTCTAATTAATTTCATCAAAATACTTGTAACTTTGTAGTAAAACGATAGGACGTGTAGTATAAAAATATATACAAATCAAAGCCCCAATGTTGTATGGATTCACTGAAATGGAAGGTGAGTTTCGTTAGCCACCATTTCATCTATGGGAATATGAAATGAATGCAAACTTTTCAAATTTTCTGCCGAGTGATATTGGAATCAGTAGTGGCCTAGTGGTTATGGGGCCCGCCTCTCGTTGCCGAGAGCGCGGGTTCAAACCTGGCAAGTACCAATGTAATGTTTCGGAGTCATATGTATGTACTTTCTGAGAATAAATGAAACTAATATTTTCGGATTTTACTTCGACGAGATGGGCAGACTCACATCTCGTCTGCCCGTGATCACGGTTGCTGAAAAGTAGCCGAAACGTCGGGAGTATGTAGTTTCTAAAATAAAACGCGAAGTAAAATCCGAAAATATTAGTTTCATTTAAATGTGTACTCGCGAAAATCTTAGATCTCATTTTCTCAGAATATTTAGACACCACTGACATACGGTGAAGGAAAACATCGTGAGGAAACCTGGACTTATAATTTCACAATTATAAGTTTGAAATCACCAACCCGTCTTGAGCAAGCGTGGTGATTAATGCTCAAACCTTCTCCATGTGAGCAGAGGCTATGCTCAGCAGTGGGTTTCTGATAGGCTGATGACGATATTGGAATTAAAAAAGATATATGGAATCTATCAAACACCTGGGAAAAATTCAAAAAAATATCTTTTTTAAAAATATAAAGTGCTGTGTTCGTGATCACACCGCAGGATCACGAGGCACCATAAGAGCATTCTGCCGGTATCCAGAGCGGTCCGCCAGAAAATTAAGAAATCGATGACGGTAGAGGATAGGTTAATAACAAAACCAACTGACAGACATTCAAATCTCATCTGACCGTGATCACGTTAGCTGAAAAGTAGCTGAAACGTCGGCAGTATGTAGTTTATTACAAAAATAAAGCGCGCTTAGTATATGCGAAAAATATTTGTTTCATTTAAATATTTTGAATGTTACAATTTATAATCTTTTATATTATTCCCACCACGCACAAATGTCCGTTTAAATGTCTTAACAAGCCACTAATATTAATTCCTGCTCTGGAGCTCCGTGTAATGGCTAACGGAATGTTAATGGCATTGTCAAAACTCCATTGTCCAATCACAGCCCTGATTTCTTGTAACCATAGTAACGTCATCTGTTTTGTCAGTTTCGACTATTTCCTTGTACTTATTAATAAAGTGAATTAAAATTTCATTTCCTATGATGATTTTGCCTCCAGCTTTTTTACATTGCAAATTAAATTTTCTTTTTATCTCTTATAATTTAGGCACAATTTATGCCTATATTTATGACATAATAATTTATAACACAATTAATTGACAACCCGATTTTGACAGGTTACACCTAGTAAATTGAAAAGAAAGCTTTTTGTGTGCCAAATGTATGCACCAACGATATGTAAAATTTGGTCGCATTACCTAACAAGTGACGTATCAAGGGATATATACGATCAAAGTACATATAAAGTGGCAAACGTGCTGTATTAAACGCTATAGTTTCCATTTGGTCGTCTTATAACAAGAACGAATAATTTGGTAGTCGGTCATTTGACATGACGTTTAATAATGCGTTGTTAATTTGTCATCGTGGGACATAAATATTTTAACAGACATTTATAATTTTGGAGGTTGGTTAGTAATTGCTGTGTTTAGATTAAACAAACATTGATTGGTGAAACTGGGTCTAAATGTCGGATTATATACGTGTTCTTCGACAATTTCTGCCCCAAATGAATCATTTGAAAACAGAATTTTTTTTTTATTATTATTTTATATATTAGTTATAACATAAAAAGACATTTACGTCTTCGTTAACGTATGAAATAAATTTTAGAAGTTATTTTATAGAATATAAACTTTAATTTGCACAAAATAAATTTATGAACGCATGTCAACCATTACTTATAGTATTTGACAGATGGACAAGAAATGTTTGACAGGTACAAAGTGACATTAAGGGAAAATGATTTCCTCTTTTATAATTATGTTTTCGTCGAATTTTCAATATTTTTGGAACTTTCAATATTGGCCGAGACCAATCCAATGAATCAAAAATCATGAAAATTGGTCCAGCCGATCTCGAGTTATGAGTGTTGTAACAAACACGACTTTCTTTTATATATGTATATAGATTTGTATGTTAATAGTAATAATTCGCTCTCTCAGCATGGTTTTACAGACTGAGTCAGAATCGTTATCAAAAACGAATATTTCTATAAATATGATTGTTACCAGTTTCGTCCTGCAGTTTTGTGGTTAAAATGAAGGGTGATATAACCATAGTAACAGCAAAATATTCAACATTCATTCTCTTCCAATTTCTTTGTCACCAATATAATGTATTTTTATCCCAGCAGTACCTGTGAATTCTATATATTCTTTAAAATATCGGATGATTCATTAATACCAGATATGGTCTCATCAAGTCTGTCTATCTTTGCGATAGTGATATTAAATTAGCCAAATGAGTGATTCATTATCGATAACAAAGCAATAATAAAATTATCATAAATACATCACAAGATTTCTCAATGACTTGTAAAAATTAGATTTTTTATATAAATATGTACTACAGGAAAGAGAATATTATTTTTGGGATTTTCATTTATTTACCTAAATTTCAAAAGTGAACATTAATATAATATAGACATGTAAATAAAATGAGTTTTGTTATATTTTAGGATTCATATAACGAATATTCTGCACGTGTACCGGGTTTAGAACCAAAATATAGCGAACGTAGCTATATATTTTTGCTTATTTATTCAATATTAACATGTTATCATTGTAAATTTTCATTTTGATATATATGTATATAGTCATACATATATCAAATTAAACATTTAATTCAAACCTGGCAAGTACCAATGTGATTTTTCTGAGTCATATGTACTTTCTGAGAGTTTTAAGACATCACTGACATACGGTGAAGGAAAACATCGTGAGGAAACCTGGACTTATAGTTTCACAATTATAAGTTTGAAATCACCAACCCGTTTTGAGCAAGCGTGGTGATTAATGCTTAAACCTTCTCCATGTGAGAAAGAGGCCTTTGCTCAGCAGTGGGCGTCTAATAGGCTGATGATGATGATGATGATGATGATGATGATGATGATATCATAATACTGACCTAAAAATATAATTAAACCTGAATAAGGTAAAACGGCATATTTCTACCAACTTAAGATTTGCTGAACATTAAAGATAAAATATTTTTATACAAAGGTGTGAAAGTAGAAGTGATTAACTTAAACCTTTTAGTGGGCCGTCTGCTCGTTTGCCACCTTTGACATAAAAAAAAAAAAAAACCTACTTGTTAATAATGATAATTTGTACGATTAGAACATTGGTAGGTATGTTTTGAAAGTAGCATTCTTTATTTTATCTTTAATTTCAACGTTGTCGTTAGCAGCCTATCTGAGCCGACTGCTGAGCAAAGTCCTCTTTTCACATAGAGAAGGTTTGAGCATTAATCACCACGCTTGCTCAAGACGAGTTGATAATTTCAAACTTAAAATTGTGAAATTAAAAGTCCAGGTCTCCTTACGATGTTTTCCTTTACTGTCTGTCAGGGGTGTCTAAATATTCTTAGAAAGTACATATGACTCGGAAAAATCACATTGGTACTTGCCAGGTTTCCAACTCGCGCCCTCATGCATGAGAGGCGGGCCTTTACTAGACATTAGTTTATAATATGTATAATTAAAATAACGAAATATCGCTAAGACTATTTGGAAAGGTCCCGAATTAAACTATAAGTGACATAAGAGAATTACTAATTATATTAATAAACAATTTTTTTTTGTTTATATAAAAAACATCTAACAATCTAAAATTTTCTTTATATATTATGTTATATAGATTTCAACAAAATCAAAAAAATTATATTTGATATTGTCTTATCAAAAATGTGATACAAAATTTTTTATTGTGTGTGGACTTCCGCGCGGAAGAAGTGAGACTTCGTAATGTTCGCAAGAAAACAGGAAGGGATAGAAATTGATTTATGAGGAACTATTTGTGTTTCTTTCAGACAAACTTTATAAACGTTATTTACAAGTCGCAATTGATTGTCCGCATACGTTCAAGCGCCACGCATTCCCTCTAACTCTGCCTTTTTAATACACATTAAACGCAACCTTGATAGAAGTTGCACAAGAAGTTTCACTTTAAAAGTATAATATTATAATAATATTTTTTTATTAAGAATATTATTATTTCGAGGGAATGATACAAATATCTCAGTTGAATCATTATTATTATTATTTAAACAACTTTGAATAATTTGTTTCTTTTAAAGCAGTTAACATGACATGATATGTTGCTCATAATGTTAAATAAAAAAGGTATTAACTTAATTATAACTAGACCAATTTTCTGAAACCGTAATTGACGATTTCATTATTTTTCTGTTTTGTAACTTCTCATATAATAATTTGATATTGACTACAAAGTCACACAACAAAAAAAAAGCCAAAAAACGAATGCTCTAATGGGCTATAAGAAATATAGATAAGGACGACTAGGAAAAGTGACGTTTATATATTTAAAGCGTTTATGAACTGATATAATTATAATCAATCTAAATTCATTATTCTTTTGATAATTAAGTTGTATTACAATTAAGTGTCGTAAATCGTTCTGATTCAGTTGATTACGATTAAGTAAACGTTTAGCGTGTGGTTAGTGTATCATCACCTCTCACACAATGTGGGTGTCTGCTATTTTATTATCAGCCTTGATTGCTTCAGTTTCCTCTGAAAATATCAAGGATCGTGAGTCATTATTAGTTCAAATCAGCTCTGGTCTCGTTAGAGGGTATAAGGATATCCACGATGATGTCTTCGTGTTCAATGGAATACCATACGCTACAGCACCGACTGGGACAGAACGATTTAAGGTAAAAGATCAATGAACTCTTATTTATCTAGTAACAGTAAGTGGTTGGCAAACTACACTTAAATTACTTGAAAACAATAATCTTAAGAGTTACCTTGAAATTCAATCCCTTCGAGAACATCAATCACAAAATACCTTGTCTATATATATACATATATTGTTTGTAAGCTCTACTTTTAAAACAAATGTTTATGTTTTATGGTACGTAAATCCTTTTTTTTTACTTACCACTGCTTTTAAATGTCCGAGGACTTCGATAAAAAGCTTAATCTGTTAAAAAATTAAGTTCTTTATTTGATCAGTGATATAATAATTTTGACCTTAACTTGGTTATTGTCCATTTTATTAACGCCATCGTTATAACTGGTTCTCTTTAACTGTTATTTAATTGGTGGGGTTGTAGATTTGACAGTTAGGAACTGAGGACTTCAATCATCATAGAAAATGTATAGGGGAAAGTAAAATTCCAACTGATCTAGTCATACCTACTTAGGAATATCTATGTTCTTGTTAGCGCTGTATGCATTATTCTCCTGGTTAATAGCAATACACTGGCAGTCCTAAGGGATTTTTCAATGAAAGTAACAAATAAGAACAATTTAAGATTATATTATTAGCACAGAACACAGTATTTAAGAAACTGGGAAAAAAATGTAAGATATCAGCAACACGGTTTTGTATCTTTTCGATCTACTACAACTATGTACATTGAACTACATTGTTCGCTTTTGTTACTGACTTAATTGATGAAGTTAATAGGGAAACGCAGGTACATATACGAACTTGATATTTGTTCAAGATTTTTAGAAATCACGTTACTTATTAAAAAAGTTAGTGGATATGGAAGAACTGAAACATTAATAGTGATGTTCGTTTTATCTTAATAATAGTTTTTCATTGTAATGATAGATGGCTATTATTGTAAGCCATTAATTGTTCTTTCCAGGTTACATTTATATAAAATATTTTATAATGTACGAGTAGATGGTTAATTTATAAAAATAAATTTAGAATTAAATAAAATAAAATTCTCTATAGAATAAAATTATAATACTTCCATTTTTTTGCATTAATTTATTTATGTCTTATTATTAATTAATTGTATTTGCTTACAACTTTGCCAAAGCAAAATGGAAATACAGATATTTCCATGATAATTATTAGGTTTTTATTTTATGAAAAGACTTATTTTTAAATTAATATATTTTGTGGTTTCTGTATTCAATAAATATGTATGTATATACAGGGTGACTGGTGAATTACTATCAATATTTAAGGAGAATACTCGGTACATGATTCTCAATCGAATTATGTAAAAAAAATAGGTACTTAATTTTTGACCAAATTTCCGTATAAATAATTAAAGTGTGGACACGTTCCAAGTGGTCCAAGTGCGGACGCGTGCGGCGGCGTGGTGATACAACACCACGCCGCCGCACGCGTGTGTGTGTGTGTTTGTATACCTAATCTGTAGGGTGTTCACAAAATTCGTAATTAATTACATAACTTTTGGTTAACTTTACTTAGAAGTTTATTAATATTTATGTTATATGAATTTTTATTTTGTCATATATGATCGTCAAATATCACGTCCTCAAGTATCGATAGTAATTCACCAGTCACCCTGTATAATATATTATTGCTGAATTTTCTGTTAGTGATCCTAACAAGTATCTGTATATTGTATCTTAAGCAAAAATAAACCTACTCATAAATTTATGAGCAACAAATTATAATAACGCCATCAAAATAAATCATACCAAATTTAATGAACTTGAATAGTCTTTAGGGTTTTTCAAAATTAGATTGACCATTCATTTTTACAACATACATTTATATTAAACAATATCGAATTGAAACTATGATAGTTATTTATTTGCGTACATTATAACTGTGTTACCATTATTTCAGGGCCCGCTGCCTCCGCCAGCTTGGATAAACCAATTTGAAGCCGTAGATGACCGAATTATTTGTCCACAAATAAGACTTTTAGACATTCCTACGGAAGGCAAGGTTATGAAGGAAGATTGTTTAATTGCCAACATTTATGTCCCAAGAACAGAGAATAAAAATTTTTCAGTCGTTGTCTATGTACATGGTGGCGGATTTGTCTTAGGTTACGGAAATATGCTTCCGCCGAAGAAGTTAGTAACAAGTCAAAACGTTATAGCCGTCACATTTAATTATAGGTTAGGGGCACACGGATTCCTTTGTTTAGGCACTGAAGACGTACCCGGTAATGCTGGTATGAAAGATCAAGTTGCACTTCTGCGATGGGTTAAAAAAAATATTGCAGCCTTCGGAGGTAATCCTAATGACGTCACAATTGCTGGATACAGTGCTGGATCGGCGTCTGTTGATCTTTTGATGTTATCGAAAATGGCTAAGGGCTTGTTCAATAAAGTAATCCCGGAAAGTGGTGCGAATATATCCCCTTTCACTGTTCAAATCGATCCCATACAGAATGCAAAAAAATATGCCAAGGTGTTAGACATTCATGATGTAGAAGATGTGTTGGAATTAGAAAATATTTTTAAACAGATGCCATATCAGATATTGCAATCAGGAAATCTATATAGAAAGGACTTCACATTTCTTACTGCTCCTTGTATTGAGAGAGATAATGGACAAGAAATGTTTCTTAAAGAAGCTCCATTGAATATTTTAAAACGAGGGGATTTTCCAAAATTGCCCATGTTATATGGATTTGCCGATATGGAAGGATTGATGTCCATTCAACGTTTTGATGTATGGAAAGAAGAAATGAACGAAAATTTTTCAAATTTTTTACCTGCTGACTTAAATTTCAAAAGTAAAGACAGTAAAGCTCTAGTAGCCCAAAAGATAAAGAAATTTTATTTTGGTGATAAGTTAATCGATAATAATGCTACTTTGCAGTTTGTTGATTTTATTTCTGACGGATTTTTTGTGTGTCCCACATTGAGAGCTGTAAATTATTTAGTAAAAGCAGGACATGATGAAATATACTTGTACGAATATTCTTTCACGGACGAATACACTCCTTTTGTACCTCATACTACTGTACGTGGAGCAAAACATTGCGCTCAGAGTGAAGCTGTACTTGATGGCTTAGAAATTGAACCGTATATTTCTATTAAGGATGTCGTTAAAATGAAAAATATTATGAGGGAGCTTTGGGGAAATTTCATCAAGAACGGGTAAGTTATTGTTGTATGTAAAATATTTTTTACAGTCATCGAATTCGTGACAACGTTATTTCAATTACTTTATGATATTTTTTGTGCTAAATAAATTTATTGTGATCGCCTTTGTAGAAAACCTACATCTTCTGGAACTCCTGTATGGATTCCTGTGGGATCAAATGGGTCTCCATATATGGCTCTTAACTTGGACTCAGAACTAAGAAGTTCATTCTTGGAAAAAAGATGTGCCGTTTGGAATGAGATCTATGAGTCACATTACAGTTACCCTGGACCTCCTGCATCACCACTACAAAAGCATAACGAGTTGTAAATTAAGAAATAATTTACATTTTACAACAGTCTTTCTTTCTTAATCGGAATATATATATTTTTAATAAATTAAGTTACATGAGTATTCTATATTTATGTTAATAAACATGAATTTAGTTTCAGGACAAACCTGGTAAAACTTAATGAATATAAAAATTACTTTTTCATGATAAAAGTAAAAGAAAAACTTAATATACATATGTTTATTTATTTATTTCTGTCTTTATAAAAACACTTAACAATTTACAGTAAACGTTGACGTCCACACTAGGCTAGGCCTATATCGTGGATATCGATAAGTTTTTAGCAGACAGAATTCAGTAAATTATTACTACTCTTATAATAATAATAATAAATGATAATCACATTGAAAGTGGTTTATACAGAAAAATAATATGTGATTTGGTACTGTACTTAAAGCTGTTAACAATTTTAAAAAATCCTTATGATATAATGATATTACAACATTTAAAAAATTAATTATATAAGAAAAAAAAACTTATCTATCATTCAAGTGGGTTTTGTAAGTGAAGTGTAGGAGTTTTGAGTGTGTGTGTGTGTGTGTGTGTGTGTGTGTGTGTGTGTGTGTGTGTGTGTGTGTGTGGGTGTGTGTGTGTGTGTGTGGGTGTGTGTGTGTTTGGGTGTGTGTGTGTGGCTGTGGGCGTGCGTGCGTCCGTGTCAGTGTGTGTTTCAAAATTGATCTAAAACAAAAACAGGCTTACCGTTGCTATAATTTAGTTTTTTATTTGAATATTTTTATAAAATGTTGGGAATCATCGTAAGACCAATTTATTAATGTATTTGTGATAGTTATTTTAACTTCTCTATGTGAAAAGTTCCTCAGGTTGCAAATCTTATAAATTTCTTGTAACTACAGTAATAGTCCCATCCAAGAAGTTTAGCAAAATTTAAGCATATAATAATTATTTCTGAGTAACGAATTAAAGTTCTTTTTACATTGCGGTCTATAAATTCATTTTCATTCAAGTTTATTTTTACATGGTAACAAATATTTTATTATATTATAATAGATGACATGATATAGAGTGACGTAACTTTATACTATTAACTTCATTTTAAATCAGAAGCAATGATTAACTTACACTTGTTATAGTAAATAAACAACTTAACTATCATTTTATACAACCTTTATTTTAACTTTTATGCTACCACATATATTTTTCATTACTATACACCACCTTATAGTCAGTGGTGGCCTAGTGGTTAAAGGGCCCGCCTCTCGTTGCCGAGGGCGCAGGTTCGATCCTGTCCCTCGGAAGTACCATTGTCACTTTTTCTGAGTCATATATACTTTCTAAAAGTATTTAGACACCACTGACAGACGGTGAAGGACAACATCGTAAGGAAACCTGGATTTATAATTTCACAATTATAAGTTTGAAATTACCAACCCGTTTTGAGCAAGCGTGGTGATTAATGCTCAAAATTTGCTCAGCATTGGGCTCTGATAGGCTGATGACGACGTCCTTACTACAACACTAATGTTTACGCATGCTTTTTG